AACTCATATATTTTTATTGGATAACAAATTTAATTGTAATGGCATTGTACCACAGGCACTGTTTGTCTGAGAAAATTTTTTACCCATACTATAATAATAACATACTATTGGTTAAAATAAAATAAAAATGCATTGTACTTATGCATATAAGAAATTATAAACATGTGTGCATAAAACCACTTATCTCAGTTTCAATCATGTAAATACTTAACATTTGATCTCCAAAGTTATAGGAGCAAGTCCATTCCCAAGTAACTATAAGCCCTACCTGAACCAAACTTGCATGGATAATGCACCTAGGGATGTACACTACCAGACTTGCTTCGGATGCTGGGTCTGACCTACATTTTCTAGATGAGTGACCAGGTTAAAGTTTTTGGAGTAGGTTAAAGGTTTTGGAGCAGGTCCATTCCCAAGGAACTATAAGCCCTACCTGAACCAAACTTGCATGGATAATGCACCTAGGGATGTACACTACCAGACTTGCTTCGGATGCTGGATCTGACCTACATTTTCCAGATGAGTGACCAGGTTAGTTTTTGGAGCAGGTCCATTCCACAGGAACTATAAGCCCTATTTGGATCAAACTTGCATGGATGATGCATCTAGGGATGGACACTACCAGACTTGCTTCGGATGCTGGATCTGACCTACATTTTCATTCCCAAGTAACTAAAAGCCCTAGCTAAACCAAACTTGCATGGATGATGTATCTAGGGATGGACACTACCAGACTTGCTTTGGATGCTGGATCTGACCTACATTTTCATTCCCAAGATAAGCCCTAGCTAAACCAAACTTGCATGGATGATGCATCTAAGGATGGACACTATCAGACATGCTTCGGATGCTGGAACTGACCTATATTTTCCGTAAAAGAGACAAGGTTAAAGTTTTGGGAACAGATCAATTCGAATGAACTTGAAGTCCTTGATATCTGCAGTATTTACAGTTATGAATATTTGTTTACACGATACATGTTTTTCATGCTACATGCGTAGAAATGTGTATATGCCATGTAAGGGGTTAAACACAACTTGCAAGAATATTGTTGTTGGGATGAATACTTAATATTAAGAAAATATGATGTGAGATTTGCATTAGTTAAAGTGACAACATTCGTCGAGGTGATCTTCATAATCTTTGATTACCTATGTTTTAGTCATAACCAAATAGTAAAGGTACAACTTTTTTATTTTATTTGTGATTTTGTGCACTTGTAAGAACTTGAAGTGTGATTTTTTTTTAGCTCACCTCAACGAAGTTTGGGGGAGCTTAATTATGTGATACCCCAGCCCCGGCATCCGTGTCCCAGTTCAAGGTTTTTGGAGCTCTTTTCTTTGCAAGTAGTTCTATGCCCTATATTGATCATACATGAATGGAACATGCTTCTAGTGTGTTTTATTGTACCAAATGAGGTTTCAGATATGCTGTAATTTCAGCAAAGGAATGACCAGGTTAATGTTTTTGGAGCAGGTTAACTTTTTTGGTGCAGTTTTTGGTGAAATTTTAAGTCTTATTTCCAAGTAACTATAACCCGGTGTTAATGATGCTATATTCACCAAACTTGAATGGATGATACACCCAAGGATGCATACAACCAGACTTGCTTAGGTTGTGACAGGGATATACATGTACTATATTTTTCAGATGAGTGAAACAGGTAAATATTTTTAAATTATCAGCTTCTTAATTTCCTAGTAACCTAAAAGCTGTTTATGATGACCAAACTTGCATGTTTAATACATCAAAACAAGGATGCACCTGCGCTTCAACAGACTTGCTTTGGATGCTGGATCTGACCTATATTTTCTGGATGAATGAACAGCTTAATGTTTTTGGTGCAGTTCTCATTTCCAAGTAACTGTGAGCCGTATGATGACCAAACTTGCATGAATGATAGATCTAGATGCATACAACAGACTACTACTTTCTTCGGATGTTGGATCTGACCTACATTTTCCATATGAGTGAACAGGTTAATGTTTTTAGTGCAATTCTCATTTTTAAGTATAACTATGAACCCTATGATGGCCATGCAGACTTGTCGAATTTCTTTAATCGCTCTCAGACATTTGATCCGTTAAAGTTGAATGTTCTTTCGGACCAGTCAATATTTTGTCAGACCAGATACATGTACCTTATTTTGATGGTGAGAAAGACATGTGAATAACAGCACCAAATGCCCTATATAAATTTCAGTAGCCTTCAGTCTAACATGTTTACTTTCTAGGGATAGAGAGTCTTTAACAGTAGACATAATGACATGAACTCAGACTTTGCCAACTACGCCGGAATGTATTTCTTTGTTCTCTCTTTGCAGAGACTTCATCGTTGGAGATGGTGTTACAAGGACTTGGAGGAGGCTGGGCATATTGGATTGGAACAGCATGCCAACAACGCTGGAGTGGAGGTATTGCTAAGTCGTTAAGGAAAAGCAGAGGTGAGTTGGTTTCATTTTCTTTTGTGCACTCTTACTAATTAGTACTAACATTTGCCTCCCCTCCCTCACTCTAAACACATATTTAGAAGTAATAGTTTTTTCCTTTTCTTTTTGTTCTGTTGTTTTTTCTTTGTCTAATCTTCTCTGTTCTCTCTTTGCCGGGATATCATCGTTGGAAATGTGCAGTTGGAGGCGGCCGGCTCTTCATCGTTGGAGGACTTGGAGGAGGCTGGGCATATTGGAACAGCATGCCAACAACGCTGGAGTAGAGGTATTGCTTAGTTGTTAAGGAAAAGCAAAGGTGAGTTGGTTTCATTATCATTTGTGCACTCTTACTAATTAGTACTAACATTTCCCTTCCCTCCCCCACTCTCAACACATATTTTGTAGTAGTTCTTTCTTTCTGTTTTTTTGATCTGTTGTTTTTTCTTTGTCTAATCTTCTCTGTTCTCTCTTTGCCGGGATATCATCGTTGGAAATGTGCAGTTGGAGGCGGCGGGCTTTTCATCGTTGGAGGACTTGGAGGAGGCTGGGCATATTGGAACAGCATGCCAACAACGCTGGAGTAGAGGTATTGCTTAGTTGTTAAGGAAAAGCAAAGGTGAGTTGGTTTCATTATCATTTGTGCACTCTTACTAATTAGTACTAACATTTCCCTTCCCTCCCCCACTCTCAACACATATTTTGTAGTAGTTCTTTCTTTCTGTTTTTTTTGTTCTGTTGTTTTTTCTTTGTCTAATCTTGCTGTTCTCTCTTTGCCGGGGTATCATCGTTGGAAATGTGCAGTTGGAGGCGGCGGGCTTTTCATCGGTGGAGGACTTGGAGGAGGCTGGGCATATTGGAACAGCATGCCAACAACGCTGGAGTAGAGGTATTGCTTAGTTGTTAAGGAAATGCAAAGGTGAGTTGGTTTCATTATCATTTGTGCACTCTTACTAATTTGTACTAACATTTCTCTTCCCTCCCCCACTCTCAACACATATTTTGTAGTAGTTCTTTCTTTCTGTTTTTTTGTTCTGTTTTTTTTTCTTTGTCTAATCTTCTGTTCTCTCTTTGCCGGGATATCCTCATTGGACATGGTGCACTGGGATTTGGCTGGCTCTTCCTCGTTGGAGGACTTGGAGGAGGCTGGGCATATTGGAACAGCATGCCAACAACGCTGGAGTAGAGGTATTGCTTAGTTGTTAAGGAAATGCAAAGGTGAGTTGGTTTCATTATCATTTGTGCACTCTTACTAATTTGTACTAACATTTCTCTTCCCTCCCCCACTCTCAACACATATTTTGTAGTAGTTCTTTCTTTCTGTTTTTTTGTTCTGTTGTTTTTTCTTTGTCTAATCTTCTGTTCTCTCTTTGCCGGGATATCATCGTTGGAAATGATGCAGTTGGAGGCGGTTGGCTCTTCATCGTTGGAGGACTTGGAGGAGGCTGGGCATATTGGAACAGCATGCCAACAACGCTGGAGTAGAGGTATTGCTTAGTTGTTAAGGAAAAGCAAAGGTGAGTTGGTTTCATTATCATTTGTGCACTCTTACTAATTAGTACTAACATTTCCCTTCCCTCCCCCACTCTCAACATATATTTTGTAGTAGTTTTTTCTTTCTGTTTTTTTGTTCTGTTGTTTTTTCTTTGTCTAATCTTCTCTGTTCTCTCTTTGCCGGGATATCATCGTTGGAAATGATGCAGTTGGAGGCGGCCGGCTCTTCATCGTTGGAGGACTTGGAGGAGGCTGGGCATATTGGAACAGCATGCCAACAACGCTGGAGTAGAGGTATTGCTTAGTTGTTAAGGAAATGCAAAGGTGAGTTGGTTTCATTATCATTTGTGCACTCTTACTAATTAGTACTAACATTTCCCTTCCCTCCCCCACTCTCAACACATATTTTGTAGTAGTTCTTTCTTTCTGTTTTTTTGTTCTGTTGTTTTTTCTTTGTCTAATCTTCTGTTCTCTCTTTGCCGGGATATCATCGTTGGAAATGGTGCACTTGGATTTGGCGGGCTCTTCATCGCTGGAGGACTTGGAGGAGGCTGGGTATATTGGAACAGCATGCCAACAACGCTGGAGTAGAGGTATTGCTTAGTTGTTAAGGAAATGCAAAGGTGAGTTGGTTTCATTATCATTTGTGCACTCTTACTAATTAGTACTAACATTTCCCTTCCCTCCCCCACTCTCAACACATATTTTGTAGTAGTTCTTTCTTTCTGTTTTTTGTTCTGTTGTTTTTTCTTTGTCTAATCTTCGGTTCTCTCTTTGCCGGGATATCATCGTTGGAAATGTGCAGTTGGAGGCGGCGGGCTCTTCATCGTTGGAGGACTTGGAGGAGGCTGGGCATATTGGAACAGCATGCCAACAACGCTGGAGTAGAGGTATTGCTTAGTTGTTAAGGAAATGCAAAGGTGAGTTGGTTTCATTATCATTTGTGCACTCTTACTAATTTGTACTAACATTTCCCTTCCCTCCCCCACTCTCAACACATATTTTGTAGTAGTTCTTTCTTTCTGTTTTTTTGTTCTGTTGTTTTTTCTTTGTCTAATCTTCTGTTCTCTCTTTGCCGGGATATCATCGTTGGAAATGATGCAGTTGGAGGCGGCGGGCTCTTCATCGTTGGAGGACTTGGAGGAGGCTGGGCATATTGGAACAGCATGCCAACAACGCTGGAGTAGAGGTATTGCTTAGTTGTTAAGGAAAAGCAAAGGTGAGTTGGTTTCATTATCATTTGTGCACTCTTACTAATTTGTACTAACATTTCCCTTCCCTCACCCACTCTCAACACATATTTTGTAGTAGTTCTTTCTTTCTGTTTTTTTGTTCTGTTGTTTTTTCTTTGTCTAATCTTCTCTGTTCTCTCTTTGCCGGGATATCATCGTTGGAAATGTGCAGTTGGAGGCGGGCTGGCTCTTCATCGTTGGAGGATTTGGAGGAGGCTGGGCATATTGGAACAGCATGCCAACAACGCTGGACTGGAGGTTTTTTTTGTATTATTTTGATGTTAGGTCTCTTTGTTATTTTAGTTCTTACTTTTTGATTTCTATTTTGTTTCCTTTGTTAGTATATGTTGTTATTTGTTCATTAGGTTTTTATTATTGTTATTTGTTTATTGAGTTGTTGTTATAGTTTTTTTGTTTATGAGGGTTGTAAAAGTTGTTAATTTTCATGTTTTATTTGTTATTTGTTACATTATGTTTTTAAGGTATTTATTAGTTGACATTGTTATGAGTTTCAGTTATTTGTTATTGAGGCAGTCATGAATTTTACTTGTAAGGAGCTCAAGTTATTTGCTTTTGTTGTGATTTTTAAGTATTTGTTATTGTTATGAGTGTTAGTTAGTTGTTATTGTTATAAGTTTTATTTAGTTGTTATAAGTTTAGTTATTTTTTATAGTTATGAGTTTTAGTTATTTGCTTTAGTTGAGATTTTTAGTTATTTGTTATGATAGTTATGAATTTATGTTAATTATTATTGTTCTGAGTTTTATTTGTTATTGCATTTATTATTCCAAGGAATATGTCTAATGTTCATTGTTGTGTTGTGCATTAGCATCAACATTAGACATGTTGGATAATGAGGAAACAGTGTGTTTCACCCAAAACATCCGTCTTATCGAGGGCCTTAATACAGTAAAACTTGGTTTTAAAGAAGTCGCTGGAACCTATGACATTAATATTTCGCTATATGCATAATTTGTTATATTCGTGAAATGATTTCACAAAATTTTTAAAGCTAGGGATTCAAGATAACTTCACTATATCTGTGAATTCACAATATCTGTCTTTGTACCAAACAAGTTTTACTGTATCTATTATTTTAGCTCTATTTTAAAATTTTGTTAGTATTTTGTAGTTGGACAATTCACTAAAGATGAAGAGAAATAAGCCAAATTCTAAACCATCATCGATAAGGTAAGATAGAAAATATTGAATTGATAATAATTGAAAAATAATTGATAATAATTGAAAAATACAGTTAAACTCGGGTAAAACGAAGTCATCGGAACTATAAAATCACTATCCGTAATTCGTTATTTCCAAATATGGAATTTATTAAATTTATAAAGCTGGGAGATCCAAGATAACTTCACTATAACTGTGATTTGGCAACATCTGTGTTCCTACTAAATGAGTTTTGCTGTATATGGAAAACTGAAATGAAGTATTATTGTTAGACAATTAGCTTTATAATATTCCATTTCAAATCAATAATATATACAGCCAAACTTCATAGTAATCATCTTTATAACAACAGAGATCTTTCTCAGGTGGTCATTTTATTTTTTCAATGAAATATTCTATAAAACTTTATTAAATGGTCACCTTTATTACCGTAAATCTGGAAATTTTTGCTGTTGATAAATTGTTAGCAAATTTGCGAGTTCATTGCATTCGCAAAAATATTTTTCTTAAAAATAATTTAACAATAAGAAATGTAAACAAAGACGTGGTCATTCGCAAAATTTTGAAACGTAAAAATTAATCAACAGCATTTTGACCCAGGTTCGCAAAATAAAATCAACGTAAAAATTTCCAGATTTACGGTATGTGTTCATTTTAAACAAATTAAAGACCAAAAATTTAAGAAACAGAATAAAAGTTATGTAAATCTAAGAAATTAGGGAAATGAAATCTTAGTTGAAAGGGACTGACTAGGGTATTTTGGTGTAAAATGCATGCAGTGAAAAAAAGCTGTTGATATTTTTAGCAGATGCACCCTACTGTCCTTGATGGAAACAGCAGATGCACTCCACTGGCCTTGATGGAAACAGCAGATGTATCCTACTGACCATGTTGGAGACAGCAAATGGACCCAACAGGACATGATGGAAACAGTAGATGCACTCCTTGGACTTGGTGGATACAGAAGCTGGACCCAACAGGTGGATACAACTGGAGGAGACTTGCCTGATGATGTTGACCTTCCAAACAAGACATATCAAAAGAGATAATTGACACTGATCAGGTACATGTATATGAGAAAATCATGATTAAGGATCATTTAATTAACCATGTCAAATTTACTGGCTGACTTATTCTTTTTAGCCTGGCTTATTTTTAGCTCTACTGGTCAGAGACGAAAAAGTTTGCGATTGTAAACAAGGGCATGACATGTTTGAAACAGCTGGAGGAGGCAGGGCCAATGGATGCTAATCTTCCAAGATGTTGAAACAGCAGATGACTTCAACAAGACCTGTGTAACAGCAGCTGCACCCAACTGGACACTGATGGAAACAACTGGATGAAGCATAGCTAGTACTTGCTGATCTTCCAAGATGTGGAAACAGCAAATGCACCCAACAGTACATGATGAAAACAGTAGATTAACCTAAAAGAATCTGATAGAAACAACTGGAGGATGAATAGCCAAATGATGCTGATATGAAATTTATCAGGTATGTGACTTTATCATAATCTAAGATCTGCAGTTTATTAACAAAGTCAAATTAACTAGCTGGCTAAAATTTTAGCTGATCTTGTTTCTTAAAATCAGCAATACCTAACTTTTGTTATGATGTTCAGCTAGATAAACCAACTCTTTACACCAATATTGAATGTTTGCTTAATAATATAAAGCATAAACTGTTGAGACAACATAACAATTGTTCAAAAAGTTTAAGAGGATTTTCCTTAAAAAAAAACTTCAGTGATGCATTTTCTTCATTTATTTTCTTCTGACTCTTACTGCAGTTGCAGCCAACAGAACCTTGTGGAAACTGCTGGAGTGCAGACAAGCTTGATGAACCTCTTTTAAGATGGGAAAACAGCAAATACTTCTAAAAGGACTTAATGAAATAAATCTTGAGGAGGCAAGGCCATTATGAATCTTGAGGCAAACTTGATGGACAATGATTTTCCAATATGTGAAAACACCTGCGCTGCACCAAAAAGGAATTGGCGGAAAGAAGGGAAAACAGCAAATACTTCTAAAAAGACAGTGAAATAAATCTTGAGGAGGCAAGGCCATCATGAATCTTGAGGCAAACTTGATGGACAATGATTTTCCAATATGTGAAAACACCAGCTACACCCAAAAGGAATTGGTGGAAACAATTACTTGTAACACAGACAAACTTGATGGACAATGATCTCAGCAAGACCTGTGTAACAGCAGATGCACCCAACTGGACACTGATGGAAACAACTGGATGAAGCATAGCTAGTACTTGCTGATCTTCCAAAATGTGGAAACAGCAAATGCACCCAACAGTACATGATGAAAACAGTAGATTAACCTAAAAGGATCTGATCTGATAGAAACAACTGGATGATGAATAGCCAAATGATGCCGATATGAAATTTATCAGGTATGTGACATTATCATAATCTAAGATCTGCAGTTTATTAACAAAGTCAAATTAACTAGCTGGCTAAAATTTTAGCTGATCTTGTTTCTTAAAATCAGCAATACCTAACTTTTGTTATGATGTCAGCTAGACAAACCAACTCTTTACACCAATATTGAATGTTTGCTTAATAATATAAAGCATAAACTGTTGAGACAACATAACAATTGTTCAAAAAGTTGAAGAGGATTTTCCTAAAAAAAAAAAACTTCAGTGATGCATTTTCTTCATTTATTTTCTTCTGACTGTTACTGCAGTTGCAGCCAACAGAACCTTGTGAAAACTGCTGGAGTGCAGACAAGCTTGATGAACCTCTTTAAAGATGGGAAAACAGCAAATACTTCAAAAAGGACTTAGTGAAATAATTCTTGAGGAGGCAAAGCCATTATGAATCTTGAGGCAAACTTGATGGACAATGATAATCCAACATATTAAAACAATGATTTTCCAAAAATAAAAAGATCTTGAGGAGGCAAGGCCATTACGAATCTTGAGGTGATGGAAACACCTGAAAACACCTGCGCTACACCAAAAAGGAATTGGTGGAAAGAAGGGAAAACAGCAAATACTTCTAAAAAGACTTAGTGAAATAAATCTTGAGGAGGCAAGGCCATCATGAATCTTGAGGCAAACTTGATGGACAATGATTTTCCAATATGTGAAAACACCAGCTACACCCAAAAGGAATTGGTGGAATCAGTTACACGTAACACAGACAAGCTTGATGGACAATGATCTTCAAAATGTGGAAACAGCAGATGTCCCCAACAAGACTTGGTGGAAACACCTGGAGGACAATTTATACCTGATGGATGTGGACTTTTCCACCCAGACATACCATAGTGGATAACTGATACTGATCAGGTATATGACATTTTCATATTCCAAATCATCTTATTGTTTATATTAAGCAAGGTCTATTTAACTAGTAGACCAAATTTTTAGTCCAGGACTCTTTTTTGTAGTGGCTATATATATATAGCTTGATTTTGTAATGGTGTTTAGCCATATATGCTGACTCTTAATTCATACCAATAATATCCGAGAATGATACATGTGATAATTTATGTGTGAAATTCTAATTAAATTTCACATTTTTGTTGTTGTTGCATGGTACAGTGGTATTTAAGAGCATCTGCTACAGAGTAGCATAGTAAGGAGTTGATCCTACTGTTGTGGGTTCGAATCTCACTGTGGGACAAGAAGACCGGTTTTTCACTGAGATTGTATAAACAGTGATGCCATGTTGCAGTAGGTGCAAAAAAAATCCCTCACGGCTCAATAGCCTCAAAACCAAGTAAAGGTCTACATTTGTATCCCTCCCCTGAAAAATGTTGCAGTGCTATTTATGAGTGAAAATTTCTCAAGAGGGACTGTCTGCTTGTGAAAAATTTATTCTCGTGTATATTTGTATTATCAATGTTTATAAACAACAGAAACTGTAGCTAGTGAAAATTTTGTTTCACTAATTAATACCAAATAGCTAAGTCACTATACTAAGGTGTTGTGAAAATATGGTGATCTACAGTACTGTATTGATTTCTGCTTTTTTCTACCTTTAGAGCTCATGTGAGCAATGTAGCATAAAGGTTTCTTCTTAATTTTTTTTTATTCAAACCTGACAATTACCTCTTGCCTTGTTCATTTACAGAAAATCAAAGAAACTTTTAGAAGGAACATCCTTGAGATCATTTGTGTGGATGAAGAAGCAGGGATTAATTAATGCAGGATTAATCCACATCTTCAATGCACTGATGTAAATCCATTTTAGTAACAATGTTTTTTTCAAAGACTAAAAATATAAATTTTTGTAAAGGGTGTCCGAATTATGTCAGGGTGTGGGGTCGCCCATTCGGACACGTGGGTTCTCTACGGGTACTCCGTCTTCCTCCCACACTGACCCCCTGCTTTTCTTTTTCTTCTTCATTAGCTACTTATATTCATATTGTTAAGATGAAGTAGTTGAAGGTTAGTTTTAAGTAGGCTTTTACGATACCCTGGGGCATTACTGGCTGGAACTTAAGTTCCTTCACCGCCACGGTTGCCAGGCTGGCTCGGGGAGGAGAAGCTGAAAGGGACTAGTTGGAGGCTGCTTTGTCTTGAATTATCTTTTTATTATTATGCCAATGAGATAATGGTTCATTGTAATTGTTTTGATGAAGTTAAATATGTTCCAGATGTAATGATTGTTAAATATGACATAAGTATTCATAGAATGTGTAAATTCTGTCAGCTGTTGTAGAAAGAGTAATTTGTATAGTCACCTTTTTGTTATTATAGTTTATTGTGAAATTGAATCCCTCAATAAGTCAGTATACTGCTGTGACTAAATATTCAGAAAGAAATATATATAATATTGTATTTGAAAGTGTTAAATTGTGATATATTTTAATGCAATTGTGAATTGTTGATGTGTCAAATTGTGAATTTTAGTGTGGAATTTTGAATTGTAAATGTAAAATTATTTTAATCTCATTGGCAAGTTTTGTGCTGAAAAAAAAAAGAATGAAAGAAAAAAAAACAAGCAAAAAAAGAAAAAAATAAAAAAAAACAAAAAACAAAACAAAAAAGAAAAAAATGAAAAATATATATATAAGTGAAATAAAAGAGAAAAAAACAAAACAAAGCAAAAAAAAAACAAAAACAAAACAGAAACAAAAAAAAAAAAAACCAGAAAAAAATGAGATAGAAAGAAAATAACTGAAAAAAGGCACAAAACTTTTAATGCTGCCTGCTTGAATTAACAATTAATTGTTATTTAAAGCAGAAGGTTCCAAGCCCTTAAAAGCAGAGGAGAAGTTTTGGTGTTTATATAATGCATTACTGAATGTGCATGCTATGGAGTGCTATTTTAATGAACACTCAAATGATCAAAATTTTTGAAAATTATTGTAAAATATCAATTCATACGATATGTACAATGCATCAATTATCTTATCAAACAATTTCTAGCAAATGGTATCTTCAATAATCTAGCAGTGTTTTGCTGAAATGAATGCAAAATCATTATTTTCATTTGCAACTTAATTTGTTATAAAATTTTAAAAAATTGTTACTATACAAATCCATACGAAAAAAAGTCTAACATTTTTAGCTCACCTGAGCCAAAGGCTCAAGTGAGCTTTTAATTTCTGATCAAAATTTGTCCGTTGTCTGTCGTTGTCGTAAACTTTTCTCATTTTCATCTTCTTCTCAAGAACCACTGGACCAATTTCAACCAAACTTGCTACAAAGTATCCTTGGATAAAAGTTTTACATAGGAATATATAGGAAAAATCTTTAAAAACTTCCTTTCAAGAACCATTGGGACAGGAAAGATGAAACTCGTGTTAAATCATCCTCAGATAGTGTACATTCAAGTTTGTTCAAATCATGGCCCCTGGGTGTAGGGCGTGGCCACAATGGCCGATCAAAATTTTACATAGGAATTTAGAGGGAAATCTTGAAAAATATTTCTTAAGATCAATAGGGACAGGAAAGATGACGCTCAAATTTTGTCATCCTCAGGTAGTGTACCGGGGGTACATTCAAGTTTGTTCAAATCATGACCCCCGGGGATAGGGTGGGGCCACAATGACTGATCAAAGTTTTACATAGGAATATAGAGGGAAATCTTTAAAAAATTTCTTCACAAGTACTGCAAAGCCATGATTAGTGATATTTTTATGGAAGCATCTTCAGATACTGTAGATTCTTGTTTGTTCAAATCATAACCCCTTAGGGATAGGGTGGGGCCACAATAGGGGATCTAAGTTTTACAGTAAAATATTTTTTTAAAATTTTTTTTGTCTAAAGAATAGCAAAGCCATATTAGTGATATTTGTATGGAAGCATCCTCAGGTAATATAGAATTAAATTTGTTCACATCATAACCTCCAAGGGTAGGGAAGGGTCTCAATGGTGGTTCAGAGTTTTACATAGGAAAAGAAAGGGAAATATCTCAATAACATAAAAGCTATGTTAAGTCACATTGACATGTAAGCATCCTTATGTATTGAAGATTTAAATTTGTTCAAATCATGGATACCCTTTGTGGTAGGGAGGGAAATGATGGAGAGTCAAATTCAAATTATTACAAAGTAATACCAGACGAGTATATACCAAACAAATTGTTAAAGAAATCTATAAAAATCTTTTTTCTCAAGAACTTTCTTGTTCAAAGTTATATGTCACAGCCAAGTCTAGGTACTTGTAGAAATTGTAGAAATAAACACAAACACGGCTGCTGGGTTCGATGTCTTTTATATAATTATCGTTATAAATAGAAAAAGAAGAAGAGGGTGACCTGAAATATAATATAAACTGTATTTAATATCTCTTACCTCACACACACTTTTACACGAATTAATTTAAATCCTAAGAATTTAGATAATTTAGAAATTCACTTCAGTTAAATAAAATGATCAAAAAGATACTGAATAATACTTGAATACTAAGAAATAATTTAACAATTATTTCTTACCGTAATCCTAGACTTAATGCCACAATATCGTAAGATATAGAGTTGTGTTGGGGAGAGAGAACGTCTTCCCTCCCCAAAGTCTAAGGTTGGAGTGCCCGTGAATTAGTACTGGCGCGAATGCGCAGGAGACATATAGAAAAACCAGTTTGACCACTCACACACTCGGATACTCTCACTGACCACTCACCCGTATAAATGAATGAATGAATGAATGAAGAAGGCAGTGAATGAACGTAGTAAATTCCGTA